AAAAGGATCCCCTCAACACCTCGGCTGCACCTAGAAATTCTGTCCAGAAAAGTTTTGAACAGAATYGGTGACAAAGGACAACCTTGGTGGAGTCCAACTCTCACCAGAAACAAGTCTGACTTACTACCTTCAATGTGGATCAAGCTCTGGTACCGGTCCTACAGGGACCTAACAGCCTGTATCAACGGGCCTGGTACCCCATACTCCCAGAGTACCCCCCACAGGAGTCCCTGAGGGACACTGTCGAACGCCTTCTCCAAGTCCACAAAACACATGTAGACTGGTTGAACTCCCATGAACCCTCCAGGACCCTGCTGAGGGTGTAGAACTGGTCCAGTGGTCCAGAACCAGGACCAAAACCACACTGCTGTTCCTGAATCCAAGATTCAACTATCCGATGGACCCTCCTCTCCAGAACAGATCTTACCAGGGAGGTTGTAGTATGTGTTGTGTTTAAAGACTGTGGGTTATTTGTGTTTCAGGCTGTGACTTTGCCCTCTCTGCCTGCTGTTATGGTTTTTAAAGACGGGACGTACTTTTTCTACAACGGTGAGACATTAAAGGGACATGTGTCTACAAACTGGGGCCTCATGTCTCAAAGAGTCTTTATACTAAATGTTTTCTGGACCGAAGTGGAAAATTACACAGAAACATTCAGCTGTATCAAACGGTCTGCACATAATGTTTCTGCCCTACTTTCATTCACACCTCCTATCTAATGTGGAACTGATGCACCTGAGACTCCTCCCCCTGACACGCCTCAAGTTAAATCTGTAAAACAGATGCAAACATGTCCAGCGTGATTCTCCTCAGATTCTTGTCTCTGTGATCAGAAATGGTTCAGGTTAGGGTTAACTATAGACCAGTAATGGTTAGTTTTTAACCCTAACCTGCACACTCCAGAGGCTGTGATTGCTTGTATTTCAACATCTTTAATAAATGAGTGTAAACACAGAGGAACTTGAGTTTGGTAGAGCTCAGAACTTTAAAGAAATGAGTCGTAGCACCGTAATGGAGAACACACATCATCTGCATACAGCAGAGATGAGACCCAGTGGTTCTCAAACCAGACTCCTCTCCACGACTGTCCATAAACACTACAAACAGGATCAGAGACAAGGGACAGCCCTCCCTGACAACAAGCTTTACTTTGTGCCAAGAATGTGAGCACAGCTCCTGCTTTGGTTCTACAGGGACTGGATCGCTCAGAGTAGCAACCTGGACCCTTCATACTCCTGCAGCACCCCCTCCACCCCCAACAGAATGCCTGGAGGAGCAGGTCATGAGCCTTCACCAGGTCTACAAATCACATGTAGACCAGAGAGGCAAACTCCCATGACCCCTTTAAAAACTCTGCAAGGTGAAAGATCTGGTCCACTGTTCCAGCATGGACCACACGGGTCCTTCAGCTTGTGTATAGTTTACATATTTAAATGGAGGTGTGTGGAGGGCGTGTGCTCAGTTCCATGTTTGTTAGGATGTATGAAGGTGAGGAACACAGAAGCATGTGTGCACCTTTTATGTCTGAATATCTCCCTCCTTTGACAACTTTTAGTGTGAAAGCTGTGCTCTTTGATGCATGAGGCTCCTGGTCTTTGGTCCTTCTTGTAGGTTAGACCAGGACCATCAGAAACATGAACATTTTATTTAACAATGGATATAAAATATACTTTTTAAACATGTTTGTTAGATGGTCAAAAGGTTAGTAGAGTGCCTTTGTGTGACCTTTAACATGTAACTGATGACATCACTTCTAAGAAACAAGTGTTTTGTGTTTCAGAGGAACGTGACGGTGACCTCAAGTCTTGGATTAATCGAGAACGCTTCCCAAATTTCCTTGAGATTGATGGCTACACTCTGTACGCCATGGGAGAGTCAGGTAAGAGCATCACACCTGAAGAAGGCAGGAACCAGTACGACTCCAGATAATATCTGTAACCCCAACCCTAACTGGCTGGGTCTGAGTCTTTAGGGATCTCCTTAACCCCTACCTGTTAGTTAAATGACAACCAAGTTTAAAAGAAACCAGAATGAGTCCAGGAACAGCACCGCCCCCCCCACACACACACACACACACACAGACAAGTAAAGGAACTCTTAGTGTTTGTAAAGTTTACAACCACTGTTTGACTGTATCTCAACACATCATTGGTCTTGTGTCACAGATAGGTAAAATAGTTTAACCCTAACCTTTAACCCTAACCCTAACCTTTAACCCTAACCCTAACCTTTAACCCTAACCCTAACCTTTAACCCTAACCCTAACCTTTAACCCTAACCCTAACCTTTAACCCTAACCCTAACCGCTCAAGTCTTCTCAGGAACAGAAACTCTGTTGTTTTTTAAAGGAGCTCATAAATGTTACTAGTTTCCACTCAGAACAGGTTTAACTCAAACTACGTGAAGTTGAACCACAGTTACTGATTGGTTCAGGCAGACTGACTCCGCCTCTCTCCTGCAGGTAAACTGGTGTTGCTGGCCCTGGTGGAGGAGACACACCTGTGTGATGAAAGCCTCAGGTACACCCCTCCATCCAACACTTAAACTGTCTCTGTTTGAACTTCCTGTCATGCATTTCCTGTCACCTGTTCAGGTATAAAAATATGGTGGAGAAGGTGGCCACAGAGCACAAAGAGATGCATGGCAGGTCAGGTTTTATTTTGAAAAGCTGCTGACAGGAAGTGAAGACTGAACTGACTGTATTTGTGTGATGTCTTCAGGAACTTCTACTTTGGCTTCATGCAAGGCAGTAATTACATCAGTGGACTCATCATGGGGTGAGTTTATCTCCACCTTCTTTAAACCTCCTTGGTTCTGGTTCTGACCCAAAACCTGCTGTCATCAGGGATGTCATTGTGCCATCCTTCATTGTGGTTAATCTATCCAATGATGGGTACTTCCTGCCCCAGAGACACGTGGAGACGGAACACCACCTGCTGGACTTCCTGGAAGGGGTTCTGAACGGCAGTGTAGAGGTGGGTCAGACCAGTTCCCACTGAGGACTAGAGACACTTGAAGGGTTCTGATAATGGTTCTGATCTGCTCCTCAGAGCCTGGGAGGAAATGGATTCAGTCAGCGCATCAGACGTGCCGTGTATGAAACCAAACTCACGCTGGTGGTACGTGACCTCCTCAGTTTGTTTCCTGTTTCCTGCTTGTGACCTTCCCACCGTTTATCCTGTCTGTCCATCCAGCCATTGTTCAGAGACGCTCCAGGACTCGGCTGCTTTCTGCTTGGCTTCCCGCTCTCCATCGGCACCATTTTCTGTTACCTCTGCATCAAAAACCGTCCCACTCAGACTGACGATGAGGACAAGTCACCTCAGCGCCGCAAAAAACCCAGAGACAAGAAGACGGACTGAGGAGTGCAGGCAGGAGGACTGCACTGATCCACCACAGTGATGGGATCCAGGCGTGGATTTTATTAGAACCCTTTGTTAGAACATGAAGGAAATAATGACCCCAATATGAAGATGTTGCTTTTCTTTTGGTTTTAAATAAAGATATAAAACATTTCCCAAGGTCACAGCTGCTCTTCTCTGATTGGTCAGGACAGAGAACCAATGTGTGTCTGGACAGTTTTCATCCTGTTGAGCTCTGAATTATCTAAAATAAAAGCTTCATCCAAACCATCAACATGTCTGTTAGATCCCAACCAGACTGTTCAAAGAAGCATTTCCCTTAATTAATATCTATATTTTAGATGTACTTAATTTATCTCTAATAAATGGTTATGTGCCACAGAGCTTTAAGGTTGCTGTAATTAAACCTTTACTTAAGAAACCTGATTCAGGAGTTCTGACCAACTACAGACCTATATCTAATCTACAGACCTATATCTAATCTACAGACCTATATCTAATCTACAGACCTATATCTAATCTACAGACCTATATCTAATCTACAGACCTATATCTAATCTATATCTAATCTACAGACCTATATCTACAGACCTATATCTAATCTACAGACCTATATCTAATCTACAGACCTATATCTAATCTACAGACCTATATCTAATCTACAGACTTACAGTATATCTAATC